TTTCCAACTGTACTACCACCAAAAGATCTGACTCTCTCATCATCCCAATCCCACAAAGACCAAATTAATTAGATTCTTTTTTTACATATAGGTTTTCCTTCCTAAAAATCGTTTCATACAAATCACACATATATAGCATGCAGACGCGGAGGACTGGTGTTGTTCATTACTTGTCATTACGTAGTCACTCTCTTCTAACACATAATCCCGACAAAAACCTAAGAGCTTCTCTCACACACACACATGCATGCATTCTTACACGTGATCGCCATGCAAATCTCCTTCTCACTTATAAATTAACTCCTCACTTCACTCTTTACTCAAGCCAAAACTCATCATCACAAACAAGTAAAAATACACACAATAGCAAATGGCGAACAAGCTCTTCCTCGTCTCCGCAACTCTTGCCTTTTTCTTCCTCCTCACAAACGCTTCCATCTACCGTACGATTGTTGAGTTTGACGATGACGCCATCAACCCAGTGGGTCCCCAAGGCCCAAAACAGAAATGTCAGAAAGAGTTTCAGCAATCACAGCACCTAAAAGGTTGCCAGCAATGGATCCAAAGGCAATCGATGAAACCTGGTTCTGGTCCAAGCCTAAACGACGAGCTCGATTTCGAAGACGACTTCGCGAACCCACAAGGTCCACAGCAGCAACACCCGCTCCTCCAGAAATGCTGCAGCGAGCTTCGCCAGGAAGAGCCAGTTTGCGTTTGCCCTACCTTGAAACGAGCAGCCAAAGCGGTTCAGGTCAGGACACAGGGACAGCAGCAAGGACAACACAATGTTGGCCGTATCTTCCAGACCGCTAAGAATTTGCCTAATGTTTGCAACATCCCACAAGTTGATGTTTGTCCCTTCAAGGCCGTCCCTTCCTTCCCTCCCTACTACTAGGCTAAATACCAACCCCTTTAAGCGTATGTACCATGATGGTTAGTGTGGTTGTTGATGTACGTTGACACTGCGCAGTCATTGTGTGTGTTTTATATAAAAAAAATGTAGCTGAGGATGTTTGAGGCTAATGTAATTAGCACTCCGTAATAAAAGAGAAGTTTTTTTTATGTTTTATTTTGTTGCTCTTGCTCTTAAGTGATTAAGAAAAACAATTAATATATGGGAAAAAATTAGTTTGACACTTATTTATAAGTTAATTACTAAACTATCTTTTATTTTATTTTTAATACTAAAAAAAAATTCATACCTATTATTTAGGAAAAATTTTAACCATATGACAAATTTAATTTAAAGTTTTAGATAGAGTTATTTTCTTTTGGGCATATTGACAGATTTATAAATATTTCACATATTTACTTAACAAATTTTGACTTTTTGGTTATAGACTTACTTAAATTTAACAGATTTAATTAACTTCTAATATATTTAATTTTTTTTACCACAGATTTTTTTAAATTTGAATAATTTAATTAGTTTATCACAAATTTATTTTTTTTGTCTATAAATTTATTTTATTTTGACAAATTTATTAGTATTCGATATATTTTTTCCACTTTGGCCACATATTTACCTAATTTAAAAGACTTAACTATTACCATCACAGATTTATTTATATTTAGAAAAAAAAATTTTAAATTTGACAGATTTAATTATTTTGTCACAAATTTATTTTTCTTTGGCAATAAATTTATCTTATTTTGACAGATTTATTATTATTTGATAGATTTATTTCTTTTTGTCACATATTTACATGATAGATTTATATTTTTTTACCACAAATTTATTTGAGAAATTTCAAAAAATACTACTTTTCAAGTGTCATTTTACAAAAATACCACACTTTTGAAATCTTTACAAAAATGCCACATTTTCAAAAT